CCCGACCCGAGGCTCAGCGTGTGAAGGGAGACGGTAAAGAGGATCATAATTCGCCGCACCGCCACGCGCGGCTATGGGCGCGACGTTTTCATGACTCGTTTTAACCTGCCCAATGAAGCACCGGACTTCATGTAGACCCCGTCATCGTAGACACTCATTACTATTTCCGGTAACTAATTGCCTGTTGTCGCCATCTACTGCCTGAAACCATCGTCCTTTGCGGGCGGGACGTCGCACGCGACGCCCAGCAGCGCGGCAAATTACGATCCTCTTGTCACATACCCATGCTAACATCCGTCGTAAGCGCGCGTGTCGCGTGCGGCTCTCTTGGCACTTTGCCAAGTCCTGTAATTGCGCTTTGGAATACAAGTAAAACGCAATTTCCTGATGCGGATAACATTTTAGGTGCTGCAAAATAAGAACCGAAGATGATGACGAGGGCCAGAACTCAAGAGCAACTGTGCTGCTTCTGCAATATCCCTCGGAGGCCGCGCATTTCCACGAAACATGAAAATAAAAACGGCCTAAGCGTCCCACTCGTTAGTTTGAAGTATTTCTATGGCTTTGGGGCCGGATTCGCGCCGGATCGCAGAAATTACACGCGATTTTAATTAATTTGCGTTTCCTTAATTTTTCATCTTTGTTTTATTTACATCTACATTCGTTCTTCATTTCTAGCCTTTGTCATCTTCATCACCTTCTATTCGGACTTTGCAGCATGAGCAACACCTCAAATGTTATTCGCATGGAGGAATCAGCGGGTTTCACGGTCCTGTATCTCCATTCCTGCGCATGTTAGGACGGGGAAACCGCTACGCTTCGACAGCTGGGGGCTGATAGTCACGCACACCCAAACTATGTGTGATCGTACCATGTGTCTTTAAGAGGCGCTTTATGAATATGCCTATATCGGAAAGACTACGTATACAATGAACAACCCTATGTCCACCAGCGACAAGGTGCCCAGTGGCCTGCATAAGAAGCCTGCGATTTTCCCTCTCAAGAACCTCCATTCTTCTCCAGAATTCAAGCTTTCAGGTGCACTGAAACAGAACTGTAGACTAGAAGTCTTCGGAGCAGGCACGTAGTACCGGTTCCCACATGGGCGATTTCTTTCATCATTAAGTACTTAATACTTTTTGCTGGTCCTTCCAGTTTCTCTAAAAGTCTTTTTGCTGGTCCTTCCAGTTTCTCTAAAAGTATGTTATAATTGCAGCCTCGCCACGATCCTTGCGCGCATGGGGTAGCGTTTATACTCGGCGCTACAATCCACCAACAAAGATTATGAATCATTCCTCTACCAACCGCACAGCCCCCAAATCTGATTGGATGCGCATGATCTTGGATCGATACGTATGTGATAACAATCACTATCTACCCAACTGCGAATGGTCGATGTTCATTTCCATCCGCATGCAGGGAAAGAGCGGAGGGTTCAAGCGAGGAGGTGAAGCTAAGCCAGATGAGGTTGTTACACTGTGGACTGCCGAACCTTGTAACATTGTGTGAAAGCTGTTTCCACTTCGGTTATAGATAGATCTGGTGGTAAACGCTTCAGCAACATTATGTTGATACTTAAGTCTTTATCACTGTGAACGAGAGAGCGTTTGAGGGGAGCGTGGATTAGAGCGCAGCCAGAGCGACCTCTTCCACCAATTGATAACATGCTGAAGATGGTGAAAGAGACTTCCCTGGATGGTTTCTCTCCACGCCCCCCTCCCCTACCCCCAACACGCCCTCTCCTCTGCAGGGATAGTAAGTGTAACTGGTTCTCTCAGCAGAGTTACATGGCGCGGTACTCCCAGCAGAGGCACATGGCGCCTATCTGTCATGAGAACTTCTCTCACTGAGAGTCCAGAAGCTTTTCTTGTCTCGTCATTCAGCTGAACCTTTTCTGGAGGCTGGGGGAAAGGAAGGAACATAGGATAAAGAAGGAACGAGTGAGAAGTGAAGAAACACGGCTATTCGCACTTGATAGGTATCCTGAGACTTTGAAGGAGCCGATTACCTCTAAACTTCCGTCCAAGTAGAAGTTGCAAGCCAAACAGCGGGGAATGTGGCCGTGAACAGTAAATAGTGCCCGTCAAGAAATGACACAGTGACCAGCAACTTTTCTACGCTCCAGCAATCCGAATACCCACCTGGCGATGATCTGCAATGTTGAACGGCCCCCGTGAAAGACGTCGACAAATGAACCCACCCTCGCTCCTTCATGCAACATCATGATAAATGTGATTGTGCTTATCTCAGATTTTGCAAGTCAACTCCCTTGAACGCGAGCGCCCATACCGTACCAGG